TTAAATTGACATTAGGTGCAGTAAAGCAAACCAAGTATTGGGACAGCTAGCCCCCCTCTTGCAGCATAAGATAATCCCAATCAGCATAAAGAGACATCTTATTCAAAGACATCCAATCTGTGCTACCAGTGCCAGACATGGTCACTCACAACAAACCATAAATAAAATTCCCCGGAAATGAGATGTCTGAGAAGGGCTGTAGGAGTGACCATAAGAGATAAGATCAGGAATGAGATCATAAGAGAACAAGATTCTGGATTACATACAAAGACAGCAAGTGAAATGGTTTGCCCACTTAGAGAGAATGCCTTGTGACACCATACTCATACATGGAAAGAGAAGAAGGACGTAGAGCACGGGGTAGACCAAGAACAAGATGAAAGGATAACATCAGAGAAACTCTACAACAGCACGATGTGCCTATGGTCGAAGCAGCCAGAAGAGCTAGAAACAGAACCTTATATCTCCCTCGACACCCACAGTGGTAAAAGAGGAAGTGAAGAAGAAGAAGAAGAAGAAGAAGAAGAAGTTCATCTCTTGACTTCAATTTGACAATATTGAATTGAGAATAGACATCACAGCACTCAGGACACCTCAATAAGCGCTCCGTCCCAATCTTCAGCAGCAATCGAAGAGTTGAAATTCCGATGGTACCAGTAACACTCTCATAGTATATCCGTCTTGCTTTTACCTGGACGTCGAGCTTCGGCCAGATTCCCTTGTAACTCCTCGCAGTGCCATCCTCCTCAGACTGTAATGATCTATCTGTGCCTCGGCCCTGTTCACTCGCTCCCAAAGAGCCCTCACAACATCCAGCTTGTCATACATCAGTTCAAAACAAGGTCGTGCAGAACCGGTCAGTCTGTCTGCCTGCTCATTTCCCAGCACACCGGCATAACTTGGAGAAAATATCCAAAAGATGCTAACTACCCGGGACCTTTGCAGTGATGCTTGTCACTCTGCACGGTGCATGGCTGTCCACCTTTCTCAACATGTTCTGTGAGTCAGTTACAATAAAGGCATGTGTGTACAGCTGATACTCAAGCCAGCGGAAGGTAGCAGTGACTGCCTCCACCTCCATTCTCAAACTTGACAACCTCAACATACCAACACCTCCTCCCCCAATTATAATTTTAAAAAGAGTTACGTTGTAATGCCTTACAGACCAGGGTAAGTAAAGTGAAGAACACTTCACCACGACTTCTGGCTTATTGGGTTTATGGGGCTCGACCTCAATTGTATAGACCAAACGGCACTTGGTGGGTGATGTGGACAGCATTATGCCGGTCGCCTTTACTTCCTAGGACTGTACCTGGTACCCACTCAAGGCTTGATCGACCTAGGAGCGAGGGTCATTTTTTATAAAAGTCCGACCCCTAACAAACAAGGAGTGACATTATTCCTTCAGTGGCGGCTGGTGTATAGAAACTGGTTTATTTTTTTTAAACATCCAGAAACCATGAGTTGTTAACCCTTTGGCTCAGTACTATGGATATCGCAACTCTTCGGCCTTGATTCCATGATAGGTACCGTAAATCAGGGGGAAATGTGGCTTTTCTGCCTACCCCCGGGAGTGAAACCCGGACCATAAGGAGTTCGTCCACCCGGTCACCGCGAAGTCAGGTTTAGCCAACTACGCTGGAGAGCCGGGCATAGAAACTGCAACAGCCGCTAGTTTCATTTGAAATTATCGATAATATCAAATAAATGAGTTTTTCTGTTGATCTTTCTTTGTACCTGTACACTATGTACTCCTCAAGCTTATCGTTAGTAGTCACCCAAATGTTCATGAAAACGTAACAAAATCCGTGTATGGAACTGTGCGTTTCAATAGTTTTAGCGACACGGTGTTTGGCTGTTGTACGTGCACACATTTCCGAAGTAAAAATTCCTGCACACAAGGTAGATAGGCACTGACGCAAGTACAGTGCTGTTTTATTGATCTTTTGTGGCAAAGTAAAACAAGAACAACACATTCAGTTTTTAAATGAATGTATCTTGAAAATTATAACAAAATTAACAACTTTAAGGAAGACATCTAAACATAGCTATAGAGATCGCCAGACGTCTCTATCGGCAGTTTTCTTATCTGGGAACTTTTTACCGAAGATGGGAAATTGGATAAAGAAATCCTCTTAGTGCAGTAAGGGAACCAAGTCGGGACAGTTAGTCCCCCTCTTACACCATGGGTCCCAATCAGCCGGAGAGACATCTTATTCAAAGCATATTTATTCCAACCCTGTGCTTGCCAGTGCCAGACGATTTTCACAACCAACCATAAAAGCAACAGTAACCACGGAAATGAGATCGAGAAGAGCTGTAGAGTGATCATACTCGGGTTAGTAAGGTAGCTGGGTATCAAGATCTTGCACGTACAAATTGGATTACTGATTGCAGCAAGTGAAATGGTTTGTCCACTTCTTGTCAATGCTTGTGACCACCATACCATCACAAAGCATCTCATTTCCGAGGACGTGCAGCACGGGGTAGACTGTGAGATGTTGGATTGCCATCATGAAACTCACACCACGAGGCCAATGGTAAAACAAGAAGACAAAACATTCAGTTTATTAAATGACACCCATCTTGAAAATTATAAGAAGAAGAAAGAAGAAGAAGCTGTGGACATGGCAGTTTTTGTTACACGGGATTGTGAGTTCAGGACGTGCCTTTATGTGCAGCACAAGTGCCTTAACTTCACCGCATGCTATTGATCACCACACTATATAACTTGTCTAATTATCTCGTTTTATAAATGTTGCTTTTTATTGTTCTTGACAATCTTACTCCCGATGGTAATATGCGCTCTTTTTCTTTTTATTTTGTCCACATCAGCTTTTTAATTTTTTCAACAATTTGATTATTTGCCTTATGTTTCACAATGTCAAACTGATTAACTAATACATACTTCACGTCTTCTGTAAATCTGGTTTTGTCGTTACTAAGTGTTGAACTGACATAACAACCAACACCGTAGACACAAAAGCGCTAGGGATATTCCTATATCCTCCGTCATCATCTTCGACAACCATTGAAGAGTTCCGATTTCAGTTGTAGTCGTTATTACTATTTGTGAATTACCATGGAAAGGCATTGATGTTGTCTTCACTCCGAATGGAGTCTGCTTCTATGGGTGTAAGGTTTGCGTGGTACTACATGCTTCTCTTTACTCTCTCCAATCTGTGGACCCAAGTGTGCAAGAGAGATATTGCAGCGTCACATTGAGAGATGCAGCGGCGTTGCTACATTATTTCCTTTTTTTTTGGGCAAAGATTATTTGACTAGCACAAGAGACTCGCCATTAGATCTTTGTATCTCTTTAACGGTTGTTTCGATTACCATCTGTGGATAAACATTGTCACAATTTAGCTTTAGACATGGCTTGAGCTTCGGCCCCATATTTTAAAACCTGCTGTGTCTTGTTGTTATATAGAGGTGAATGAATTTCCTCTGCTCGATACAGGGAGATTTAATTAACTGTTGTAGTTTCATATACGGTGTTACATCTGTCTGGCTTAGTAGGTAGGAAAGTTTAATGATATCCGAAAGTGCAGACCCTCAATGAGGTGATGTTCAACATATTGACAGCTATATAGTTACCAAAACAACTGTTCAGAGAGACATGAACTAGAAGTCTGTCCATGTGTACGTTCGTCAGTATGTGCCCTTTTCGGTTTTAGCAACCGCCTTTACTAACTGTATATTAAATACTAGTTGCCACTGTTTAGGACGGTATATGAGGGGGAGGTTCTGAGACTGAAGATTTAGTACCACATAGCTGGTGCTTTCGACACGGATTCGTTGCAGACTGTCGGTAATTTCGATGCTTGATATGATTCTTGGACATATATTGCTAAAAAATTGGCCACTTTAAATGTTTCAGGCCATTGCAACCAAGCTTTTAGAACCTGAACATAAAGTCTAAAGTAGCTTTGCTGCCATTTGTTGCATACTTAAATAATGTTATGTAATCTGAGAACAAATCAAAACTTTATTACAAGTGCGTAATTCCATCAAACGTAGGAAATGGAAATTGAAATATTGCAAGTCTAAAAAAGTGTCCTTGGACAAAGCCCGTTCAGGTACTTATCATGAGTTTCGCCCCATTTAGCTTACGCGCGAGATTTCATGTCGGCACCCAGTTACGTCGTGTCAGTTTCCAGGTTCGAGAGGTGTCATGAGATTTCATCGCTTTCGTCGGCGTCCTAATATAACCTAACGGTTGAACAGGGTTTACTAGGAATTGTGCCAGGGGACTGTTTCCGAACGGTGGCACTTTGTGTCAGCGGGTGTTAATCGCTCGTTGTGCGGTCCTGATTGAACTTCTGTACTCTGTTGAGTCCAAGAAGCTCCGGGTGTGGGTTCCTGGGACCCATTATGTGGAAAACAAGAATAGACCCACTACTTCCACACACACAAAAATGTCGACTAATTGGGGGCTTCTTTCCAAGCTGGAGTGCGTCAAAAGTGTATTCAAATAAGATAGATCGGTAAAACTGATGTACACGTAATACACAGATTCTGGAGCACGACTAAAGTCTTGAGGTGGTTAACAACCAGAAATTGTCGCTGGAGTTTACAGCCGGTGAATGAAGAAGAAGAGTCCAATCAGCGAAGGGCTACATACGGGGACAACATCTGTAGTTTCTACCATAGGTTAGTTGCATATCCTTTACAGGACGTTGCAGAACCAACCCCAGCAGCCCATGGCTGTTGTGTTGTTTCTCTAGGTAAATTTACGTCCAGTAGTTTGTCATTGCTTTCTGGACGTTCGACTCCCTGATACCACAGTCGAAACCAACGCAAGGCGCATGGCTTGTAGCTGGGATCGAACCCTGCACCCGGTATTACGAAGCGTTCGCATCGACTTAGCCACAGAGCCGACAGTTTCTACCATACAATTCTGAAGAAAAAAAAAAAAAAAGCCAATGTGGCAGCCCTGATCTGTAGTGACCCCAGTGAAAACAACTTCCGGCTCAAGTTATAAATAACCCAGCAAGATGGCAGACGTCCTGAGTACTCTGCGTCAGTTTCACATCAATAAAAAGGAGATCGTCGAACAAGATGATCAGATTGTTTTTGGGGAGTTCGCCTGGGCGAAGAATGCCAAGACCAACTACGTCATCTACGGGTAAGTTTCTCTGATGTTATCTGTTATCCTTCCATCTTGTTCTTGGTCTACCCGTGCTCTACGTCCTTCTTTTCTTTCCATGTATGCTTTGTTATGGTATGGGTCACAAGGCATTCTCTCTAATTGGGCAACCATTTCACTTGCTGTCTTGTATGTAATCCAGAATTTGTTTCTGTGCCGACTTGTTCTCATTATGATCTCATTCCTGATCTTATCTCCTTATGGTCACTCCTACAGCCCTTCTCAGACATCTCATTTCCGTGGTTACTAATTTTCTTTTATGGTTTGTTGTGAGTGACCATGTCTGGCACTGGTAGCACAGAGTTGGAATAAATATGCTTTGAATAAGATGTCTCTTTGTGCTGATTGGGATTGTCTTATGCTGTAAGAGGGGAGTTAGCTGTCCCAATCTTGGTTTGCTTTACTGCATCTAATGTCAATTTCTTTATCCAATTTCCATCTTCGGTAATGTAGTTCATCAGATATTCAAACTCAGATGCCTGTTTAAATGCCTTTGTATTCTATATTGCTAGTGTTTAGATCTGTCTTCTTTTTTTTCCTATTGACATTACTTTTCTGTCTTTTCAGTGTTAAGATTCTCATATTATTTGTTTTTACATTCTTCGTTCATGGATGTTAGATGTTGTTGCAATTTCATGGCTGTATCTGCTATCAAGGCCTGTTCATCTGCAAAGAGTAATTCGTTGGATCTTACTAAGATCTTCATTCATGGGCTTGGCATTCTTTGCATATACTATTGATGTAGGTGATAAACAGCAGTGGTGATAAGACACACCCTGTCTTACTCCAGATGTCACTGTGAAAGGTGAGATGTTCCCTGATTTATTCTAACTCACACTTCTTACAATCCCTGTATATAAACTTTTGCACACTTCGATGAGGTGTTCGCTTACTCCATATCTTGCCATTATTTTCCATAATAATTGTCTGTCGACTCTGTCCTGCAAATTTCTTCTCCTGGTCTACGAATGCCACAAAATAAGTTCTTATTGTATTCAATGTTCTTTTCTATTAACTGTTTAAGTGTGAAGATTGCATCTGTGCAGCTTCTATTTCTCCTAAATCCCATCTGTTCTTCTGCCAGCTATGGACAATAGAAAGCCAATACAGGCTTATGCAAACATCGTAAGCTGTTGGGTGAAGACGATAGGCTCTCCTTTAAATAAGGCTCCAAATGATCGGCGCTGAAAGTAAACCCAAACAGAGCCTCACTCATATCTAAAATTTGCATTTCTTTTGCGGCGATTCAACCGTGTCAAAAGTAGGATTAATTGCGCACATTTTCGCGAAACGCAATAGACTTTTTTACGACGGTTAAATGGCTGCAAAACTAGTATTAACTACGGACGGAAAATTAGCGACACACAAGAATACTCCCGATAGCGCTATCCTACGAAGGGCCACAGTTATATGTAAGTTGCGGACCACTTATCGCCGATTATAGTGCCACCTCCGAGAGTATCCCCCGCGCCGCTACATGCGGCGCGGACGGGGCTAAACTAGACGGCTGGGACTCACGATCAGCAGCTCCCGCTTCTCCTGCAGCTTCCTCCATTCTATTTGCTCTTGAGTTCTAGCTATCTAGTTTAGCCCCTTCAGCGCCATGCCTAGTGGCGTGGGGGATACTCTCGGAGGTGGCACTATAGTCGCAGGAAAACAGTCATGAGCTACTTCTTGCGTTGCAACTGCCGGCATGGTCGCATTTGCCACGGTCAAGGGGTCGTTGGGATAGTGGAGCGCCATAGTGGCGGCTGCTGGTTTAAAGTTGTCCCGAGGCGACTGCTGGTTTGAAGTTGTCCCGAGGCGACATGTGCGTACGTTAAACCGCGCATTATTGATTATGTCTCGTCCGCAAGGAGAATTGCGGACAAACTGCAGCCTGATGAAAAGGCGGGCCAGAAAGAACAGATATTCGGGCACTATTTGCAACTTCTGTGCCACAATTTTCACGTATAAAGGATTTCAATATTGGTGGTAAGTAGTAGAATTCCCCCATTTCCTTATACTTTTCGTTCTTTATATTTCCAGAGTTACAGCTTTTAAATGTTTGTAGGGCAGGACGTAATGAGGCTCTGTTAGGGTTAAATTTCTGCGTAGATCATTTGGGACCGTTATTTAAAGGAGAGCCAGACGATATAAATATATAAATAAATAATATTCTTTATTGTTTATTGTCTAAATTAATTCTAAATCTAATGATAAATTCATAAAATATGATTAATAATATAATATAAATGACTGCTGAGCTGTTGTGAATGTTTGTTTTTTAACATTTCGGGGCGGGGTTATCAACATCTGTGTCTTAGGCTTAAGTGTTTGTGAACCTGCTTTGTAATTCCCAAATATCCCAAATAGCTGCACCCAGTTTGGCAGCAGACTATTTTGATTTTAGCAGTAGTTTTGGAGCACTGACCATTTGAGAGAACAAAAACGAAAAAAAAAAAAAAAAAAAAATAAAAAAAAAAAAAAACACCACAAAAAAACGGGCCCAATGGTAGGCTCTCCTCCGAACTTCTACTCCCGCATTATGGCGGCCTGAAATATCCGTTCGCGTCGGCTCAGTTTCTATTAAAAAATATGCCGGCTCCGTATAACGAAACAAAGGCTCTAACAGGTCTCCAGCGATATGTTACTTGCGGACCTGTTTCCTATTGTTTCTGATTACCTGACAATTCTAAGAGACACAAGCCTGCAGACAATAGTAGCAGACTATAATAGCGGAGCCGTTGACACTTTCCGCCGAGGAACAAATATGTAAAATTTTCACGTATAAAGGATTTCAATATTGGTGGTAAGTAGTAGAATTCCCCCATTTCCTTATACTTTTCGTTCTTTATATTTCCAGAGTTACAGCTTTTAAATGTTTGTAGGGCAGGACGTAATGAGGCTCTGTTAGGGTTAAATTTCTGCGTAGATCATTTGGGACCGTTATTTAAAGGAGAGCCAGACGATATAAATATATAAATAAATATATTCCTTTATTGTTTTATTTCTAAATAAATTTCTAAATCTAATGATAAATTCATAAAATATGATTAATAATATAATATAAATGACTGCTGAGCTGTTGTGAATGTTTGTTTTTTAACATTTCGGGGCGGGGTTATCAACATCTGTGTCTTAGGCTTAAGTGTTTGTGAACCTGCTTTGTAATTCCCAAATATCCCAAATAGCTGCACCCAGTTTGGCAGCAGACTATTTTGATTTTAGCAGTAGTTTGGAGCACTGACCATTGAGAGAACAATGGTAGGCTCTCCTCCGAACTTCTACTCCCGCATTATGGCGGCCTGAAATATCCGTTCGCGGCTCAGTTCTATTAAAAATATGCCGGCTCCGTATAACGAAACAAAGGCTCTAACAGGGTCTCAGCGATATGTTACTTGCGGACCTGTTTCCTATTGTTTCTGATTACCTGACAATTCTAAGAGACACAACACTGCAGACAATAGTAGCAGACTATAATAGCGACCGTTGACACTTTCCGCCGAGGAACAAATATGTAAAATGGGGACTAGAGGAACTTTCTGCCGACGAACAAATCGCGGCAAATCTAGGATTGGCTCGGAAAAAAGAAACAAATGCTCTAAGACGGTCTCATTGATATGTTACTTGCGGACCTGTTTCTGTGACTATGCCTCACCGCCGACCGTATCCCCCGCGCCGCTACGTGTGGCGCGTATAGAGACTAAACTAGATGGCTGGGACTCACGAGCAGCAGCTACCGCATCTCCTGCAACTTTCTCCAATTACTTTGCTCGTGAGTCCCAGGCACCTAGTTTAGCGCCCCCATCCGCGCAGCACGTAGTGGCGCAGGGGATACGCTCGGCGGTGAGTTCAATCGCGTTTTGCGCATGATGAGTCTGACATCTACCGCTGCTAAATCCTCAATCGGAAGAACAGTATTGCTATTCTGTGTGGGAGCGCATGGTCTACCTGCCATATCGCTTTCATCGTCTGTAATGTCTCAAAATTGTCAACGGTCGCATTTATCGTCTGCTCTTATCTCTCTGACTGGCATTCTGTTCCCTGTGTCCATAAGAATTAGAAGCTTTGATATATATCCCATGATGATATTAGTTTTTGAAACGTTGGGCCCATCGACCCCATACTTCAGCCTCCAACCTGGAGGACCAGGTTTTTCATATGCGACAGTGAGGGACATTTATTAGGAATGGAGCAAGTATGGGGAAACCCGATTGCAGTGTTGTTGAAACCTCTACTGACTAACTGACCTGGAGGACCAGTGTGTCTCTGTCTGTTCTCTACTCTTTAAACTTTCTGGTGTGTGAGACCCTGCGGTAGCTGTGCTACCACCGACAGTTCTCAGGATCATTTAGCCGGAAAATAACCCACAACCTCCAGAACACAAGGCAGATAGCTTGGCCCTGGAGACCTCTATTAAGCTGCACCACTACAGTAAGTGGAGATACTGGCTGAATGTAAAATTGTCCAGCAAAATCAAGCTGGGAAAACAATTCTAGCGTTGGTTCAGCAGTGTCCTGTAAAAGATACACAACCAAGTTTTTTTTTTTAAAATGATACAAGATATATCCTACATAGCTTTTCTAGACTGTGTCCAGCTTTGGTGTGCAGCTGTCAGGTTTGTGTCCTCTGTGTCCAGCTTTGGTGTACATCTGTCAGGTTTGTGTCCTTCTCTGTGTCCAGCTTTGGTGTACAGCTGTCAGGTTTGTGTCCTTCTCTGTGTCCAGCTTTGGTGTACATCTGTCAGGTTTGTGTCCTTCTCTGTGTCCAGCTTTGGTGTACATCTGTCAGGTTTGTGTTCTTCTCTGTGTCCAGCTTTGGTGTACAGCTGTCAGGTTTGTGTCCTCTGTGTCCAGCTTTGGTGTGCAGCTGTCAGGTTTGTGTCCTTCTCTGTGTCCAGCTTTGGTGTACATCTGTCAGGTTTGTCTTCTCTGTGTCCAGCTTTGGTGTGCAGCTGTCAGGTTTGTGTCCTTCTCTGTGTCCAGCTTTGGTGTACATCTGTCAGGTTTGTCTTCTCTGTGTCCAGCTTTGGTGTGCAGCTGTCAGGTTTGTGTCCTTCTCTGTGTCCAGCTTTGGTGTACATCTGTCAGGTTTGTCTTCTCTGTGTCCAGCTTTGGTGTGCAGCTGTCAGGTTTGTGTCCTTCTCTGTGTCCAGCTTTGGTGTACATCTGTCAGGTTTGTCTTCTCTGTGTCCAGCTTTGGTGTGCAGCTGTCAGGTTTGTGTCCTTCTCTGTGTCCAGCTTTGGTGTACATCTGTCAGGTTTGTCTTCTCTGTGTCCAGCTTTGGTGTACATCTGTCAGGTTTGTGTTCTTCTCTGTGTCCAGCTTTGGTGTACAGCTGTCAGGTTTGTGTTCTTCTCTGTGTCCAGCTTTGGTGTACAGCTGTCAGGTTTGTGTTCTTCTCTGTGTCCAGCTTTGGTGTACATCTGTCAGGTTTGTCTTCTCTGTGTCCAGCTTTGGTGTACATCTGTCAGGTTTGTGTCCTTTTCTGTGTCCAGCTTTGGTGTACATCTGTCAGGTTTGTGTTCTTCTCTGTGTCCAGCTTTGGTGTACATCTGTCAGGTTTGTGTCCTTCTCTGTGTCCAGCTTTGGTGTACAGCTGTCAGGTTTGTGTTCTTCTCTGTGTCCAGCTTTGGTGTACATCTGTCAAGTTTGTGTTCTTCTCTGTGTCCAGCTTTGGTGTACATCTGTCAGGTTTGTGTTCTTCTCTGTGTCCAGCTTTGGTGTGCAGCTGTCAGGTTTGTGTTCTTCTCTGTGTCCAGCTTTGGTGTGCAGCTGTCAGGTTTGTCTTCTCTGTGTCCAGCTTTGGTGTGCAGCTGTCAGGTTTGTCTTCTCTGTGTCCAGCTTTGGTGTACATCTGTCAGGTTTGTGTTCTTCTCTGTGTCCAGCTTTGGTGTACATCTGTCAGGTTTGTGTTCTTCTCTGTGTCCAGCTTTGGTGTACAGCTGTCAGGTTTGTCTTCTCTGTGTCCAGCTTTGGTGTACATCTGTCAGGTTTGTGTTCTTCTCTGTGTCCAGCTTTGGTGTACAGCTGTCAGGTTTGTGTTCTTCTCTGTGTCCAGCTTTGGTGTACAGCTGTCAGGTTTGTCTTCTCTGTGTCCAGCTTTGGTGTGCAGCTGTCAGGTTTGTGTTCAGTCTCTTTACGTATAAACAGCAAAGATAGTGTTAATAACATTTAAGTGAGAAGATGGACTTCATTGTACCGGATTATATCCTATATTGCTCAATCTCTCTCCACAGAATGGCTAGCTGCCTTCCAAGAGTGTCACACAAAGCACAAACTTCATAGCTTCATCACCGTTCCCTAGGGATCTGTAAAAATGTTGCGCTTCTGAACTGAATTACGTAGCCGTGAAATGAACCCACAGCCTTCAGAGCACAAAGCAGATAACTTGACCACTTGGCCCTGGAGATCCCTGTTAATGTTGTTAGTAACCAGTAGCTCTTGCACAGATTCTCAACCTTTTGCTAGGAGTCGACTTAGTGACTTCTGCTCATCATCACAGGCCATGTCGCTCATCTCTCTTGGATCAGGTCAGCATGTCTGTCTCACTTGTGTCATGTATTCCAGCTATCCAAACATTTATCTGGTTGTCTTCCCTTGGCTGTTTCCCTACACGGCTTGTCATTGTCAAGCCTGTTTCTGCTCATAACGTTCCCAGAAATCTTGAGTCTGCTTTTAGTTTGTCTAATCAGTTTGTCTTTCCATAAGTTTGATCAAGGAATGTCTTTTCAATTTTGTCTGTCAGGTCACCACACCTACAGCACACCATAACACACACATTTACCACAACACACACCACCAACTATATATTACATGTTAACGTTCATTACTTACTTCACATTAGTTGCAAGTGACTTTCAAGCTGTGTGTAATAACTGGAATCTCTTGGCCAGTGCTAATCTTCCCTCCTAGAACAGTTTTAGACTGACAGGCTTTTGTTCCTGTATTTTCATTTGTCTGTATTGAATTATTTCAGAACTGGAAAGGATGGAGTCCCAAAGGAGTATTACAGCCTGGACTCCATCTTGTTCCTTCTGAGGCATGTCCAACTTCAACATCCACTGTATGTCAGAGAGGCTGTGGTAAGTCTTGCAGTCATCCACTGTATGTCAGAGAGGCTGTGGTAAGTCCTGCAGTCATCCCCTGTATGTCAGAGAGGCTGTGGTAAGTCCTGCAGTCATCCCCTGTATGTTAGAGAGGCTGTGGTAAGTCCTGCAGTCATCCACTGTATGTTAGAGAGGCTGTGGTAAGTCCTGCAGTCATCCACTGTATGTCAGAGAGACTGTGGTAAGTCCTGCAGTCATCCACTGTATGTCAGAGAGGCTGTGGTAAGTCCTGCAGTCATCCCCTGTATGTCAGAGAGGCTGTGGTAAGTCCTGCAGTCATCCACTGTATGTTAGAGAGGCTGTGGTAAGTCCTGCAGTCATCCACTGTATGACAGAGAGGTTGTGTTAAGTCCTGCAGTCATCCACTGTATGACAGAGATGTTGTGTTAAGTCCTGCAGGCATCCACTGTATGTCAGAGATGTTGTGTTTAAGTCCTGCAGTCATCCACTGTATGACAGAGATGTTGTGGTAAGTCCTGCAGTCATCATCACCCACTTCATTCCATAGAGGCTGTTTCTTCTGCTGATTTGTCATTATTCAAAGATATCAGTTACACACTTTCAAAAGCCTTGATTTTCTTCATTGTTTATGAAACTGTAAATTCAACATTTTTATTTTTCAAAAGTCACATGAGTACCATAAGATTATCTATCTACTGTCCTTATTTTCCCATAATTGCCATTTTGACAGTGACATATCTAGACCAGGTTGTCAGTTAATTTGGCTTTTCGCCAATTTATTTGGCTTTGACATTTTATGAAAAAGAAAATATTTTTAAATTAAAAAATAAAATAGACATGCATGGATGGAACTGCAAGAGATGGCAGCTGTTAATCTTACTTACTTAGTCGCTCTTCTTCTATCTTGTGGTGTAGAGGTTTGCCAGAGAGATTGTCAGACGTCTGTTGGATGTTGTCTTCCCAGTGCACCCTGGGTCGCCCTGGAGGTCTGGTTTCCTGGTTCTTAGCCTCCCATGCCTTCCATGGTGGCCGATTTTTTTTCTCCCTTTTTGCACACATGTCCAAGCGATCGTAACTGACTGATCTACTCAAGTTTGTAAGGGCTGGGTTCCAAGATCCTGACATATTATCTGATTGCGAACTGTGCAGATTCTTGGTCACAATACAGCCAACAGCCCAGTTGGCTCTATCTTTCGTAGAAACACCATTCTAGAGCAGCATGCTTCCATCATGATGTGTGATTCATTGCCCCTTTTTTATTTGTTCCAGTCAGAGCCAACATTCATAATTTTGCTTTTCTCATTTCTCCATCACCTTGTTTTCCTTCATGTTAATGAATCATTTGTTCTGCATGTCATGCCAGTTTGTCGCTGTTAAGATTTGTCTGATTTTCCCTATGGTAACTTTTAATCATAGTATAAGGCAATCGGGTGATTGGCCTGTTGATGGAGCGCCTGCCTCCTTTTGGTCTCCATGCAGGCCGTCTGGCTGATTCAGTTACCCACTATTTCCGGAGATGCAAGAAGCACTCAAGTTTAGCCAGACCCTCCTCCTTTTCCAGCGTGGCTTGGGACCGGTCTTACAGCAGTTAATTATATATAACAATTATCCATGGACAGCTGCAAGACAAAGACAACCTGTTGACTAGTGTTAGATTCCCTGTTGGTTGTGTTTTGCAGGCAGCCAACATCAGTGTCGTGCGTCGTCCAGACAGGAAGGACTTGCTGGCCTATTTAAATGGGGAAACCTCCACTGCCAGCAGTATTGATAAAAGTGCACCTCTTGAAATCTCTCAGCGGCCAACGCAGAGTAAGTCTTCCTTGATAGATGTTGGTAGGCCATGCACATATCTGTATTGCTCATGGTGTCATATTTGTCAAGTCATGGTTGTGGGCGTGTCTGTCTGCTTATCAGATCTCTATGTTATAATCGTAATTGTTTATGTGAGTTATCATTTCTTTTCTGAACATTTGATGTGACAAGTGAAAAAGAGTATAAAGTGCTTTTAGTACCTCGCCATGCTAAAAAGTTGAATCAGTTTCATATAGCTTGTCTCAGAAAGCTGCTCAAAATCAAATGGCAGGATAAGATCCCAAATACTGTGTAGAATCCTTCCTCAGTAGGAGTTGGACCCCAACACCACCAGGATGTCAGGCACGCATGTTACTATCACTTCCTGGACAGGCAATTGGACGTTACTCACAGAAGCTTGCTTATCCAGATAGCTACTCTCATAATTTGGACTGCCAAGCAAGGAAGACTCCCGATAGAAGGAAAGGTAGCCGATGAAGAAGAAGAAGATGTCTGTGATTCGTTTGAAAATGAAAGTTCTCATCAAACTAGCTGAGAGTTTGTTTTGATGAATATTTTTTCAACAGTCAAAAGGCCTGCGGAAGATCCTGGCGGGGAAGGGGAGAAAAAGAAACCAAGGATGGAGGTAAGAAATATTTAAAATATATGCTTATGTTCGTAGATGAGACAGTGGAAAAGACAGTATATAAAAGAGAGTGACATACACACAATTATGTCAGCTTAATTCTATTCTATAGGTTTTCCTTTACACAAATCCTAGCCATGTTTCTTCTTTTCCATTCTCCCTCAAAATGGCAGTTGGCAGGTTGTGTTGTGGTTTACAGCTAGGCTGTGATCACATATGTACCTTGAAGTGCAACACGTCAGATTTCAGCAAATCATAAACTTGCTTCCTATTACAACATGCTTGTTAGGAGGCAGTGGCCAAGTTCTTTCTTCCATCCCCTCCAAAACTGGGGCCCTGGCACACATACAGGGACCAAAACTGGGGCCCCGGAACACATACAGGGACCAAAACTAGGGCTGTGGAACACACACAGGGACCAAAACTTTAGCTGTGGAACACACACAGGGACCAAAACTGTGGCTGTGGAATGCACACAGGGACCAAAACTGTGGCTGTGGAATACACACAGGGACCAAAACTGTGGCTGTGGAACGTACACAGGGACCAAAACTGTGGCTGTGGAACACACGCAGGGACCAAAACTGTGTCTGTGGAACGCACACGGGGACCAGCCATGTTTGAAGTCACTTGTTTGTTTTCCCCAGAACCTGTGAGCCTTCTGTGAAGAATGAACTGGTGTCGTCATCGTGAGAGAACCCTACACCACTGCCCATGTATGGTAGCAACCACCATGATCTGATTAGTGTCTACTTGCACCATTAGTTTTATTTGCCTTACTTGGAGAAAGTCGTCTGTTGCCTGCAACATTGAATTGTTTTGGTGCTTTTTCATCATTTTTTTCGTTGTTGTTTCATATCATGTTTTCTTAAATAAGGATAATGTTAATTTGCCTTTCTGTATGAAATTTTAGGATCCGCAAGTGCAGCTGGAGAAGATAAATTGGATCAATAAGATTGATGGAGGTCGAGATTCTTCTGTCCTACCTGCCATGACGTAAGCTGAAACAAATGTTAAACATGGCTCCCTCATTCATGAACTTTCCTTATCTAGCCTTGAATACAGAACTACTTAACAGAAATATTGAGACTTTCTGTAAAATCCTGTTATCTAGTTTGTCCTTACTCCCCAACTTCTGTTTAGTCCTAAAATGATATTTTAATACCATGATGTAGTTAATTTAGTGTGATTTCATTTGTTTGTGTTTCTTGTTTTAATTTTTTTAAGGATACTTTTTTGGTGTAAGTTTTGTTGCTCAGTGTTTTTTTTTTGGTTGGTTTCTTTATTCTCACTATATACAGTGAAGCAGAAGTATACTCAAATGTTTAAACAATGTATAAACTTTTTTTTTGGCATTCATCCGAAGATATAATTGCATGGTGTCAGTTAACAGCATGGCTATGATTTTTGGGCTTTTCGGCCGACACATCTGACTTCTGCAGACATTTGTTGGCCGGGTTAGCCTTCCCAGTTAGACTCATAGGACACTGCAGTCTCATTGTGTGTGTGTGTGGTCATCTTTGGTTCCCAGGTCACAGGTGGTGCCACACATCAGACCGGTCCAGAGAAGCCACATAATACTGTTCAGTCCTCAAGTGAAGGCAGGGGGAGAACAACATGAGCAAATCCCTGCCGCCCATACATTCCACACCGCCCATACATTCTCCACCGCCCATACATTCCCCACCGCCCATAAATTCCCCACCGCCCATACATTCCCCACCGTCCATACACTCCCCACCTCCCATACATTCCACACCGCCCATACTTTCCCCACCGCCCATACTTTCCACACCGCCCATACATTCCCCACCGCCCATACATTCCCCACCGCCCATAAATTCCCCACCGCCCATAAATTCCCCACCGTCCATACATTCCCCACCTCCCATACATTCCACACCGCCCATACTTTCCCCACCGCCCATACATTCCCCACCGCCCATACATTCCCCACCGCCCATACATTCCCCACCGCCCATACATTCCCCACCGTCCATACATTCCCCACCGTCCATACATTCCCCACCGCCCATACATTCCCCACCGTCCATACATTCCCCACCGCCCATACATTCCCCACCGCCCATACATTCCCCACCGCCCATACATTCCCCACCGCCCATACTTTCCCCACCGCCCATACTTTTCCCACCGCCTATACTTTCCCCACCGCCCATACTTTCCTCCCCGTCTATAACGGCTTCCATAACTGCAGAGTAGAAGGTGCTTTGGTACTGGGCTCACCCAAGGAATTGTCACCTCCTGCACATGACTGTTTAACCTCTTTTCCAAATGTTGAACATTTCATTCATCGTGGGCTGTGTCTTTGGAAGCCAGCAGTCGGTAGCCTGCAGAACTGGGATTCCAATTATCTACATCCTCTTACAGGTTTTGGGGTCCTATTATGGAGGGGGGGGGGAAGACCCGCTGCCTCCCCAACAAGCATGCCATAAGAGTCCACTAATTGGGAGCTTCCATTGAAGTCGGAATGCATATGCCTGAGAGGCAAGGGACCAACAGTCTGAATACAAATGAGTCAGATCTGTAAAACTAGTTGACAAGCAACTCTCAGGTCTGCAGGCCAGAATTAGCAAACAAGCAAAACTTTCCACCAGAGTTTACAGCTGAAGAAGAAGAAGAAGAAGATTATCTACACAAAACAAGTACTTGGCTTCTTGTGCATGTGACTTTTACTGCAGTAGACTTCCATGTCCACTATGCTTTCATGTGCCATTTCTCGCCTGAGTGCATCCAGTGTGGCCATATACAACTTTTTTATGGGCGTTCATTCAAAGATATAATTGCATGGTGTCTGTTAGCAGCATGGCTATGATATTTGCACTTTTCGGCCGACACATCCAACTTTTTCATTTTCTCCCATATCATTACTTCCAACTCTGCATCTCTAGGGACTATCAGATCTAAGGATCCCTGACAGTTCTCTCCTTCTTATACCTTCAAACGTCAGTGTGAATATGTTTAAAGAAATAGCAGCCAGCTTAAGGTTGTTGGCGCCTCCACAGAGTTTATTCTCAAAGGGAGCGGGTGTAAGCCAGGATCATTTTCTATGTGCTGCATATATTGGGCACTCATGAGGCAAATTTCCACAGTTACAGTCATCAGTGTCTCCTATTTTAAGCTTATTGAACAAGTGGTGTTTCAGCCTATTAGGCCCTGTGCATTCTGAAGATCACTACTCAATCTCTTTGGTAGTGTGCATCATCCTTCTTATGGCCTGCTTGTTCAGAATCCATTTAGTACTATAAATATTTCTTATAATCCTCTTGACCTCATCATATGTTATGTCTAGATCAGGCTGGGGTTAGTCTTCCACCCTTCTTTGCCAATCTGTCAGCCTCTTCGTTTCCAGGTATGTTGCCTTGGGACATTCCCAATCTCCATGCCTAATGAGGTTCAGACCCAGCTTTGCTGAATGAGATCTCAGAACTCAAACATTGTGACCAGACATTCCTCTAGCAGACATGCACTTCGTGATTTCCATTTGTTTTCAAGATTTCGCAGCTTGACTTCAATCAACACATTTTGATATATGCTGTCCACAGAACCTCTTCCCTACACGAAGCCATGCCGCTGGAGAAGATTGCTGCCATCAAGGCCAAGATTCTAGCCATAAAGAGGACAAAGATCAAGGGGGATGATGATCTGCAGTCAGGCGCTCTGGAACAGAGGACTTTTGTTGATGCTGAGGTTGATGTCACCAGGGATATTGTCAGCAGAGAGCGCCTGTGGCGGACGCGGACCACCATTTTGCAGAGTGTTGGCAAAGTATGTAATAGAATTCTCAGCTGTTTATTTTCATTTATTTATATCACCGCTGTCCCCTCCCTTCCACTTTCTTGTTCCTATTTGTCTTCTTCTGCATCCGGTGCCGGGGTTAAATCTGCAGTCGGATTGAAGCCTAACATCCTCTCAACATGTTACTCAGTTAATGACATTTCCAACTTCACATCAGAAGTGTCACCTGATAGATGCTCCAGAGACTTTAGAAAAACTGTCGACATGATAGACAACAATATTCTTATCAGAAAATTAGAAACGGTGAAATTTAACTGCAGGCTATAAAAGTTAATAAATTCCTTTTCTGTTTAAAAAAAAAAAAAAAAGTCATCTCATACAGTGAATCCTTATCGCTGAACATTACTTTCAATACTGGGATACCACAGGGCTCGATTCTTGACCCTCTGTTATTCACTATTTACATAATAATCTTTCCTTGCATCTGTCATCGTTCTGCGATTTACTTGCAGATGACTGTTTATGAAACAAGAACTCTCTATTACCACTGGTTGCTGAGACGTGGCATGTCACTGTTCTGCTTCTTCTTCCTCTCCTTCACTTGCTTCTTAGTTTAATTCTTCTTGTGCTGCTGCTGGCTGTTGTACTATCACATCCAAATTGACATTTCTCAGTGGGAACACCACTTCTTCTTCTCCTCTCTCATCCCTGATCACCACTATCTTGTCATACAAACCACCATGCCACCTAACGTACAATCTGAGCTGAATCATAAGGCCGTCAAGTATTGATATCTCTTTATTCATTCAGTGACATCAGAGGTATTGTACTTTCAAAAAAAATATTGATAAAGGCCATCAAGAGCTACTATTATGACAGTACAGCTGGTGAAATAAAACTCAGAAGAAAACAATCTTAAATAAGCCTTCTGTCAACCTGGTTTCAACTTCCCACTTCCCAACTTCCCAGGACTTTACACTGTCTATCTAAGGCTGGCAGTCATGGTAGTGGTAGTTTAACAAAAATAAAGTCCTGCACCGTTCGTATTTTGAACCCGCAACCTTCGGATCCACAGATGAGCATCTAGCCACTAAACAACGGCAGCTAGTCGACTGTAAGCTCCCTGACTGATCAATTTGAGACACTTTTGAGGGAGCGCCTGTAGTAATTGTCACAGTAAAAACTCACTAGAGTCATGTTCTGTCTGTTTGTTGCAGCAATTTGCCAAGAACATATTCAGCATCCTGCAGTCCATCAAAGCCAGGGAGGAGGGAACCCAGCGGTCACACAGCTCCATTCAGAGCGCCGTTTCGTCTGCGGTGGTGAGTGCTTCTTTAGTTCTCATATCCCCTCCATTCTTTTTTGTTTTTATTTTTCAGCTTGCTACAGAATACTAAGAATGACTTGAAGCATATAGACATAGATAAATATATATATATATATGCTTCTTCGTCTGTAGCTTAGGCATTGCGAACACGCTTCGTAGTGCCTGGTTTGATCCCAGCTGCAGACCTTGCGTTGGTTTCAACAGTGGTATTGAGAAGCTGACCGTCTAGAAAGCAGTGGCAAACTACTGGACGTAAATTTGCCTATCAAAACCACAACAGCCCAAAAATTCTGGGGTTGGTTCTGCAATGTTCTGTAAAGGTTACACAACTAATTATTAAAAATAAAAAATGTGCTTCCTTTTTTTTGTTTTCTTTGTTCACTGGCTGTAAGCTCCTGCTTGTTTAAAGCATGTTGAGGAAGATCAGAACAGGTATGCTTCGTGCAGAGTGGCATGCTTCGCTGCGGAGGACACAAATGAGGAGTATTGTCTGGATTTTTTCACCGGGTCACGCCGGACAGAATGGCTGGCTCTGTACAACTTGGTGGAATACTGATACATGGTAGGGCAGACGTGGTTAGTGCCTTGTGGAAGAGCGTGTACAATGCCGAGGAGCAGATGGATCACCACAGTCTGGTGAGATTAGTGCAGTTGGGGGTGACGAGAGGTTCTGGCAGAAGCTCGAGGAAAGGAAAGACGGACGTTTAATCAGAAAGCTACTGACACCATTAGTATCGGAACTCTTCGCTGGCTGCTGAAGATGGGGACGGAGCAATTATGGGAATGCCCCGAGTGCTGTGATGTCGGTTCTTGAATCAAATCAAATCAAATCCTGCTTGTTTGTCCATACAGACTTGGGCTTTGTGGCAGGGCCGGAGTTTTGCATACACGTCTGTTTTAACTGGTTTATTTGTGTGCAGTTGGTTGTTCCTTGCCGCTCGGGCAGATCCATTCCGACTTCAAAGTTAGCTCCCAAAATATTGTCACTCTTACAACATGCTTATTGTAGTGACGGTGGCTCTGTTACTGTTTTCCTCAATATTGGACTCTGAGATCCACATGAGAAGTGCAGATACTGTATTGTGCTTAGATAATCTCTTTGCGAGTTTTGGAACACCATAGTAGGGGAAAAAGGATCCACTACCCACTAACAAGCATGTCCTAAAAGTAGATAAATTAGATGAGTTTACTTCCAAGTCAGAGTGCATCTTTCTGACAGGCAGTCTGCATATAAATAAACCATATCTGTAAAACTACAGTTCTGGAACAAAACTAAAGTCCAGAAGTGGAACAACCAGAACTTTCCACCAGGGTTTACAGCCAATGAAAACTTAGAAGAAGAAGAAGATAATGACATATCTCATTGCTTCCATTCTGTGTTAAACAGAGGCCATCATGTGATAATGGTAGTATAGTATCAGATTTTGGAGAAATATCTATGAGAAAACCTGTGCCAGTGTGTCTGACTTACCAGTTGAAACTCAGTCTTCCAAAGGATTTACTAGCAGTATCTAGATAGAATTATAGCGTCATATTACTGGCAGTTCTGTTGAAAATAATTTGTTTTTGCGGTATAACATGCAGTCTCTGTTGGACACGTATATTCCCTATCATCCTTGGTAGCAATGTCAGACACGAAGCACATAGTGTATGCTTTCTGTAATAAGATGAATAAAAATCTTTGTTTTGTTGTTGTTGTCATCAGCCGCAGGCCAGACCTGTCCAGGTGATCAGTGGTTACAACAGGTACGATCAGGAAAGGTTCAAGGGCAAGGAAGGTAAAGGCATTTAAAAAAAAAATTATCCTGACCACCTTTCTGTGTGTGTGTCACCATCCATCTGTTGTTGTTTTGTTCAAAATCATGTTTGCTGTTCTTTAGTTACAGCCAGACTCCCCATGCAGGCTCCGGGGCTCCTTTGTGGGCAAAACAAGAATAGACTAACTGTCTCCCCAACAAGCATGTCCTATGATTTGACTAACCGGGCACTTTCTTTGAAATTGAAGTGCATCTGTTTGCGCAGAATGAACAACCAGCTGCACACAAATAAGTTAGTAAAATGGATGTACACACAAAACTCAGGCCCTGACTCAAAGCCAAAGTCCAAATAGGCAAACAACCAGGACTTTCCATCAGAGTTAACAGCCAGTGAACAAAGAAGAAGAAGTTACAGCCAAATAGGCAAACAACCAGGACTTTCCATCAGAGTTAACAGCCAGTGAACAAAGAAGAAGAAGTTACAGCCAAATAGACAAACAATCAGGACTTTCCATCAGAGTTAACAGCCAGTGAACAAAGAAGAAGAAGTTACAGCCAAATAGTGAACAAAGAAGAAGTTACAGCCAAATAGACAAACACCAGGACTTTCCATCAGAGTTAACAGCCAGTGAACAAAGAAGAAGAAGTTACAGCCAAATAGACAAACAACCAGGACTTTCCATCAGAGTTAACAGCCAGTGAACAAAGAAGAAGAAGTTACAGCCAAATAGACAAACAACCAGGACTTTCCATCAGAGTTAACAGCCAGTGAACAAAGAAGAAGAAGAAGTTACAGCCAAATAGACAAACAACCAGGACTTTCCATCAGAGTTAACAGCCAGTGAACAAAGAAGAAGAAGTTACAGCCAAATAGACAAACAACCAGGACTTTCCATCAGAGTTAACAGCCAGTGAACAAAGAAGAGGAAGTTACAGCCAAATAGACAAACAACCAGGACTTTCCATCAGAGTTAACAGCCAGTGAACAAAGAAGAGGAAGTTACAGCCAAATAGACAAACAACCAGGACTTTCCATCAGAGTTAACAGCCAGTGAACAAAGAAGAAGAAGTTACAGCCAAATAGACAAACAACCAGGACTTTCCATCAGAGTTAACAGCCAGTGAACAAAGAAGAAGAAGTTACAGCCAAATAGACAAACAACCAGGACTTTCCAACAAAGAAGAGAAGTTACAGCCAAATAACAAACAAACCAGTGAACAAAGAAGAAGAGAAGTTACAGCCAAATAGACAAACAACCAGGACTTTCCATCAGAGTTAACAGCCAGTGAACAAAGAAGAAGAAGTTACAGCCAAATAGACAAACAACCAGGACTTTCCATCAGAGTTAACAGCCAGTGAACAAAGAAGAGGAAGTTACAGCCAAATAGACAAACAACCAGGACTTTCCATCAGAGTTAACAGCCAGTGAACAAAGAAGAAGAAGTTACAGCCAAATAGACAAACAATTCCAGGACTTGAACCATCAGAGTCCATCACAGCCAGTCAGTGAACAAAGAAGAGGAAGTTACAGCCAAATAGACAAACAACAAGGACTTTCCATCAGAGTTAACAGCTCTGTGAACAAAGAAGAGGAAGTTACATATTTGTGACCCTTTGGTTTTGTGAATAGAATGTGTTTGTTGTAGACTAGTACCTGTCTCAGGCAGATGTGTTCCAAGGATTTTACTGCACTCGAGGATCATATGGTCAGGGGAAGAATCACATGCAGGCTGAGAGATATTCTTCTCTTATTCTGCCTTTCTTTCCCCCAATGGAGCATAGGCCCTCAACCAAACCCCGCCAAGTCGTTCTATCCTTCGCCATTGCATGGAGCTCTCCCCATGTCCTGCCCATCTTCCTAGCTGCATTCTACAACTCTCTTCTCTGTGTGTTTTTGGCCTTCTTTTATTCCTATACCCCTGTGGGTTCCAATGCAAAGACATTTTAGTTATGCTGTTGAGAGATATTGCTAGATGTCTAAGTCTGGCAGAGGAGGAGATATCAGTGGGATTGACCCACAGCAGCAGTGGCCCGGGGGAGGGGGGGGCACCCGACGAGTCTTATTACAGTGGCAGCTTTCTGTGTCCTGGAAGGCTAACCTGGACATTTGCCTGCAAATATCGCAGCCATGTTGCAAATGAGCAAAACACATTTACAGCTTCGGAAGAATGCAGAAATGCAAGATATGCAGGGCAGACCTGATAAGGAGGACTCACCAGAGACCAAAGAAGTGGTTCTTCTTATCAGAAATTCCCATGTAAGAATTCAAGCCAAAAATTATTGCCGGGGATAAACAAATAGTTCTGGACAACATAAATTCACCACATCAGAGATCACTTTTGCCTATAACCTAGCCAGGTACAACAGTTTCTTTAATTATGTTTCTCCCACCCAGAAACTGAGGGCTTCCAGATTGATACCAGAGGCACGTATCACGGCATGACCCTGAAGTCTGTAACAGAAGGGGCCCAGGCCAAGAAGACGCCACAGCCGGCACCGCAGCCAGTTCCGCAGCCAGCTCCCGTCCAGCCATCTTTGTCCAGACCAGTATCTCAGGCCAGACCGCCACCCAATCAGAAAAAAGGTCAGTGGGTCACTTCTGCTACATTGGCATCTTTTCTCCTGCAGATGTTATGATTAATGATCTCTGTGCTATAATTAATGGCCAGTTTGTCATTAATGATCTGTGTTATAATTATTGGTCTCTGAGTTATGATTATTGGCCTGTATGTTATTATAATTAATGGTCTTTGTGCTATAATTAACAAAATTTAGTCTTTGGGTTATAATTAATTGTCTCTGTGTTATAATCAAACAGAGATACTGAATCTCTGTGTCTGTGTAAGTCTCTGTCTTTGTCTCTCTCTCTCTCGCTCTTTCCCCGCTATATCTATATCTTTTTGCCCCTCTGTGTTCCTCCCTCTCTGTATCTCTGTATGTAGCTTGCCGCTCTTCCTCCATTCTTTATTATCTCTATATGTGTGCTTCTCTCTCCTTTCTGCTCAGTAGCACACTGTATGTATGGCTCTCTCTCTCTCTCTTTCTCCTTCTCTCTCTCTTTCTCTCTCTGTCTCTTTCTCTCTCTCTCTCTCAATTTATTAAAAAAATTAATTCTCGTAATGTATTTATTAAGTGGTTTTTGTGTTATAATGAATAACCCATGTCGTAATTGATACGTGTCACAGTGGTGGTTTCAACAGAAAGTTACTAGAAAGCCTAGTTTTTAAAAATAGTGACAAGGGTTGACCATGAAGATGGCACACCATTGAGGGAACGAAGAGGTGGGGGGAAGGGGTCCACAAGACCGGCAGTTTGGCAGTTTATTCTTAACTCATGCAGATTTCTGCAGAAAATTCCAATCACTCATGAGAGGGTCTACAGAAAATTCCAGTCACTCATGAGAGGGTCTACAGAAAATACTCAGGCAGCCAAGATAAATGAGGGTTTCCCGTTAAAAAGTATCGCTTGATGTGGAGCAAATCATAAAGGTTTCCATGTTGGTTCTGGGGCCCCTTTTGGGGGAAACAAGAATAGACCCACTGCCTCCCCTACAAGCATGTCCTTAAAAATAAAAAAAGACTTATTAGGGCAGAAGTAGAGAACAAGCAGAAGTTTCTGCTGGAGCTTACAGCCAGCCAGTGCTAAGAAGAAGAAGAAGGATGTACCGGGAATGTTATAACTGTTTGAATTGGGAACGATGACATCGGTGTAGGGAGCATGATATATCTCCAGATTAACATTATGAGATGATACAAAATCAGATGGAAAGGAGCAGGTAAGAACAATTGCTCAGTACAGGTCAAACAGTGCCGTGCTGGAAATCATTGTGTCTTTCTAGTGAAGGAGTTTTAAGGAACCTGACCTAATAATAATCCATGTTCAGCATTTCTAAATTTGACAATGATATCGACGTATCTGCCAGGATGCTTTCCTGTCTTCTATTATTAACTGTTTCCTGCCAGGCTCTCGTACGCCAATCATCATCATCCCCGCAGCAGCATCCTCTCTGATCACCATGCTGAACGCCAAGGACATTTTGCAGGACCTCAAGTAAGTCCTCAACTGTTTGCACGTACTTACAAGTATTTACTGGAAACCTGTAGATGTTTCACATTTGTATATGTGTGCGCACACACACATTGTATTTAACTCATCAAAAGTCAAGCGCCAATTATTAAAACCTTGGTTGAAACCATCATACAAATCTGATATAAATGTAATATTAGTTTCAGTGAAAACAGCATTTATTGAAAAGGAAATTGACATGCCATGTAAAGGAATGGAAATGCATTCAAATGCGCTGAAGCTCTAAAGTGTGCCACCCACTTTTTCAAAAGCCCACACATTAGATATAGGACACAAGACATTTCAAAATTGGGCTTGACCAATGATGATCCCATGTTGCTAAACAAAAAAGACATTCACCAGACAAGCTTGATGGGCTCACATGTTATCATCTTGAAGGACAGCATCCGCACCTAAGGCCTACAGAACAGGCTGAACAGTTGGTCTCAAGATTTCGTTCTGATATCTTGGGCTGTTCATGTTACGTTAGATGATAATGTAGAGAGCTGTCCTGATGTGTCTGTCGAAGCCTCCCCGAGCAGTGACAGAACTCCTGCTATGACAATCCAACTCTTGGATGGTGTCATCAGTAAATCACTCTCCTGGTCATGTCCAAACTCGAATCCTGACATCATTGAATAGTACAGTAAAGCCATATTCATCAGTGAAGAAGACTTGACACCTTTATTGGAGTGAGAGCAATTCTGACTGCAGAAGATTGATATGATGGTTATTTGTGATGTAAGGATTACCTGTGATGTGAGGATCACCTATGATGTGAGGGTTACCTGTGATGTGAGGGTTACCTCTGGTGTGAAGCTTGCCTACAATGTATGGGTTATCTCTGATATTTGCAAAGTCATTCCATATTGTCTCTTCTAGTACCCCCATTAGTGATTCTATGCTGCCATCAGTTAATAATTATAAATATTTGTAGCTCATTAATCAATAATTTCTGATTGTCGATCACACTTTGCTTCATTTCTCAGATCTGTGATTGTTGATCACCCTTTGCTTCATTTCTCAGATCTGTGATTGTTGATCACACTTTGCTTCATTTCTTTCTCAGATCTGTGATTGTTGATCACACTTTGCTTCATTTCTCAGATTTCTGATTGTTGATCACACTTTGCTTCATTTCTCAGATTTCTGATTGTTGATCACACTTTGCTTCATTTCTCAGATTTGTTAGTACAGAGGAGAAGAAAGCCCAGGGCATGAAACGAGACAATGAGGTTCTCATCCACAGACGCAAGGAGGGTGGGCTGACAGTTCCGTACAGAATTATCGACAACCCTTCTAAGTTGACACCTGATGACTGGTAGGTGGCGGCACAGTGTCTGTATCGTGTCAAGGATGTGTAGATTAGCTGTATGTTGATGGGAAATTGAACTGGCAGTACAGCAGAGCTAACGAACAAAAACAAAACTAGAAGCTTTACAAGTCTCAGCCACAAGTGGCTGAATGGACATTGTCCTGGTTTCAGGGCCCTTGGGGGGTGCGGGGGAATGGGGAGAGAGAATAGACCTATTGCCCCTTGACGAACATTTAATAAAGGGTAGCTAATTAAGCTTTTCCTAAAGTTAATTGTGTTGGATCAAATGGTGCTGATATTGCAGCCTAGCGGTAAAAAGCAATGCAAGTGCCATCTATGCTTTGAAGGACAAATACAGAAAAATAATGGGCATTCTGGTTAAAATGCTTTCACAGTACACTGAAACAAAAAAATTTTACCCTGAACAAAAAATTAAACTGGCAACTGTATAAAAAATTTTTTTGGGTTTAAATTAGGGGCTTGAATGCTTAGCATATATATTTCTGATCATCATCATCAATCAGCAGTTCCTGTACAGAACATGGCTGTAATCCAGTTATTCAGACTTGTACGCTATCATAGCTAATGCATTTTCAGTGTCTTGTATTCAGCTTTATGCCTGGTTTACTGGAAACTGTACCCTCGTTCAGTGTTCTCTCTCTCGGCAACTATGACATTTAGTGTGGCCAAAATACTTCATCTTTTTTTTTTCAACTGGCTTGCTGGTGCTGTGCCGTAATATTCCTGATAGTGTTATGAGTATGTGAGTGATAAGTCAGAGACAGCGTGGGTCTGTTCTGTCCTCTCTGTTATGTGTATGGAAGTAACAAGTAAAGACGGCGTGGGTCTGTTCTGTCCTCTGTTCTGTCTCTAGTCAGAGACACTGTGGGTCTGTTCCTTCTTGTCTGCTTAGAAGATAGAGCTGTTTGTGGTTTCACTGCATTTTGTGTTTGTCCTCACAGGGACAGAGTGGTTGCTGTGTTTGTCCAGGGTCCTGCCTGGCAGTTCAAAGGCTGGCCTTGGAATGGGAATCCAGTAGAGATATTTTCTAAGAGTAAGTAGAGCTTAGGTACACAGCTGTAATATCTCCATCACATAAGCACATGCACACCACACACACAATCACAGTATAAAGGGTATACAGTCATAGTGCATTTGTCTGATGTCATGTGTTAACATCCTCATCAAGATGGGGGTTTAAACAACTGTTGATTTGGACTTCCAGGTTAACCCAGCCTCAAGTGGGTACGTAAGAAACACGTGCTGATTGTCAGTACAAATATTCAACTGGCACCATATATCCAGTTCACCTCAAGGTCGGTAAAAGAGTCCCTTACTTGTTTGAGCTGAAAATCTTTATTCCACCAACACCTTCTGTAAAGGTCCCCTTTCCAAGCCTTCAAGGCAAATTGGGCAGTTATGGCCAGACCTGTATTGTATAGACCAGTAAGCACCTGGTCAGTATTGTGGTCAACCTCATGCCGGCTGCCTTTACCTCCCAGGATTGTACCTGATACCCATTTAAGGCTGGGTCGACCTGGGAGCCAAGGTCATTTTTTAAATAAAAACCACACTTTTTTTGGGACTTAAACTCATGACCTTCCGTTTGGCAGGTGCTGTAATGGTGTATCTGGTTGTAAACCAGACTAAACATTTAGTTGTTGGAACCTCAAACATTGATGGTTAAGATCTGGGGGAAAAAACAGTGATATAGTACTAACAAGAAGCAGCCATAAGAATTGACAACCTAGTGGCAACTTTTCCAAATATTAAACAAGGGGTTAGACAGGGATGTGTACCATCACCCAGTATATTACATTTATACAGTGAAATAATGAGATCCGTACATGGTATGCCAGCAGTGTTCTGAGCAGTCTGCTGTAGGATGCCACTATAGTTTCCTTGTCTGGAAACACAGAAAAATGTGTTGGGTTCCAGATAAAGGTTGCCAGTTTGGACATGTATTGTTGGTAAATATAGAATGATAAGTTTTGTTATTTCAGTCAAGGCGTATCACTTGTTATTTCAGTCAAGGCGTATCACTTGTTATTTCAGTCAAGGTGTATCACTTGTTATTTCAGTCAAGGCGTATCACTTGTTATTTCAGTCAAGGCGTATCACTTGTTATTTCAGTCAAGGCGTATCACTTGAAGTGGTGTGAACTGCCCGTTGACAGCAATGTCCAGAAGTGGTCAGTACACATCATGAACCTGGACAGACATCGCCGGCACTTGGACAGGGCTGCCTTGCAGCAGTTTTGGGAGCACTTAGACAAGTAAGTCTTTCCTTATTTCAAAAAGTGCATCACTTGTAGACTGTTGGGACACAGATGGTGTCTGTAGATTGTCAAGACACAGATAGTGTCTGTAGATTGTCAAGACACAGATGGTGTCTGTAGATTGTCAAGACACAGATGGTGTCTGTAGATTGTCAAGACACAGATGGTGTCTGTAGATTGTCAAGACACAGATGGTGTCTGTAGATTGTCAAGACACAGATGGTGTCTGTAGATTGTCAAGACACAGATGATGTCTGTAGATTGTCAAGACACAGATGGTGTCTGTAGATTGTCAAGACACAGATGGTGTCTGTAGATTGTCAAGACACAGATGTTGTCTGTAGATTGTCAAGACACAGATGGTGTCTGTAGATTGTCAAGACACAGATGGTGTCTGTAGATTGTCAAGACACAGGTGGTGTCTGTAGATTGTCAAGAACACAGGTGGTGTCTGTAGATTGTCAAGAACACAGGTGGTGTCTGTAGATTGTCAAGACACAGATGGTGTCTGTAGATTGTCAAGTCACAGATGGTGTCTGTAGATTGTCAAGACACAGATGATGTCTGTAGATTGTCAAGACACAGATGGTGTCTGTAGATTGTCAAGACACAGATGATGTCTGTTGATTGTCAAGACACAGATGGTGTCTGTAGATTGTCTAGACACAGATGATGTCTGTAGATAGTCAAGACACAGATGGTATCTGTAGATTGTCAAGACACAGATGATGTCTGTAGAGTGTCAAGACAGACAGTGTCTGTAGATTGTCAAGACACAGATAGTGTCTGTTGATTGTCTAGACACAGATGGTGTCTGTAGATTGTCAAGACACAGATGATGTCTGTAGATTGTCAAGACACAGATGGTATCTGTAGATTGTCAAGACACAGATGGTGTCTGTTGATTGTCCAGACACAGATGGTGTCTGTTGATTGTCCAGACACAGATGATGTCTGTAGATTGTCCAGACACAGATGATGTCTGTAGATTGTCAAGACACAGATGGTGTCTGTAGATTGTCAAGACACAGATGGTGTCTGTAGATTGTCAAGACACAGATGGTGTCTGTAGATTGTCAAGACACAGATAGTGTCTGTAGATTGTCAAGACACAGATAGTGTCTGTAGATTGTCTAGACACAGATAGTGTCTGTAGATTGTCAAGACACAGATGGTGTTTGTAGATTGTCAAGACTCAAGACATGGATATTTATAGAGTTTTTATTTATAAAATGTCATGTCAGGTCTATTTATAAATAGTGCAGGGAATATCTGCAGATTGTTAAGACATGGGTTGTATTTATAGATTGTTATGGCAAGCATAGCGATACTCATTCATCTGATTTTTTCCCTTCTTATTTAACCACCAGTGGAGCAAAAGCCCTCAGCAAACTCAGGCCAAGTCATTCTATCCTTCGCTATCACATGCAGCTTTCACTAAGTCCTCCCTATCTTTTTTAACTTTACTACTTAGCTCCCTTCTCCGTGTTTAAAAAAAAATCTTTCTCAATTTCTAATTTTTCTCGTGTGTCCTATCCAGTGCCAGCGTCTTTTCTTCACCTCTTGGTCCACTGGAACCTGTTTAGTTCTCTCCCAACATTGGTCATTATATCATAACGTTGAATGCCCTCTGTTCTGCACGGGCACCAGTTAATGAATGTTTGTAGTTTATTAGTGATTGCTTCAATTGTTCTCCATGTTTCCATTCCATACAACATTATTCGTTTGACATTAGAATTAAAAACTTTTAAGTTTAGTATTTTAATTTGTTTTGACAAATTGTTTCACAAATTCCCTAGTGTTATGAAAGCTCCTCTTGACCTTTGTAACTAATAATGATGATTTATTAAGATATCACTTAATGTCATTTGTGAGTGAAATTCAAAGTGGAAAATGTTTGACCTTCTAGGTACATGCTGAAAAACAAGCCCCAGCTGCGATATTGAACCTTCTGGCTGTCTATACCTGACTTCTACACAAGATAATTTTACCTGAAAGGTGTTAAATGATGATGTATTGCTTGCACATATTATATCTGGATGAGGTTCATACATCCTGTTCATTTTCACAAATATTGTATATTTTATGATAGAATTTACCAAGATACCTGTTTATTGTTGTCTATTATTTGGTATCAGACTAGGTTTTGTTTGTTAGGTAAAGTCAGTTTGTGTAACTCTGTGAAAATAAAGGTGGAAAAAAAAACATACTCATGCATTCAACAAGATTTTCTTCATCGTCCGCTCAAAGGGTGGTTGGAACCCCAAGCTGAAAGATATTTTGAGCAGACAGGACAGAAAGTGTTTCTGACAAGCCGCCGCCGCCGCGATGGGAGCATTGTTTTACTGTGGACCTGCCGTATGGTGATGAATGAAATACAGGAGCAGTAACTTGTTTAATAAATCAAGATTGTATTATTTCAGACCTACAGCTCTATTGTATTCTCATATCTGAAGAGGCATTTTGACTTGCTATGTGAAGTCCTGTGATGTTTTTGACTCGTAAGAAATGTGTGTCCTGTATTATTTTTGACTTGCCTTGAAAAGCAATACGCATTAAAAAAAAAAAAACACTCGGGTTGCACTGTATGTCCATTACAACAAAAGACCCACACAAAAGTGTCCCTCACTTTTGAAAAAATTTATTGTTTGTGTTTTTCTTTGCTTTCTGTGAGAAATATGTCCTGTTTTGTTTTTGACATGCTTTGAGAATTATGTCCTGTGTTTTGTCTTCGCCTGAAAATTGCATGTTTTCAGTTTTATATAAGAGTGGCATGAGTAAATCAACAAAACAAAAGTGGAACTGGTGCGATTTACAAGAACACAGTCTAAATGACCAGCTGGATATTGCGGCTAGAAAAGCTTTATCAGCGCACATGCGCACCCACACACACATACCACACACAGGACAGTGGTGTATATGCATTTAAAAAAAAACCCAATAAATTCAGTTAGCTCCTGCAGTGTAGTCTTGGAAACATCCAAGTCCTAAGGGAAATAAATCAGACTGCCCAAGCTTCTGTAGTGTAGTCTTGGAAACATCCAAGTCCTAAGGGACATAAATCAGACTGCCCAAGCTTCTGTAGTGTAGTCTTGGAAACATCCAAGTCCTAAGGGACATAAATCAGACTGCCCAAGCTTCTGTAGTGACAGTAGAATTGCACGTCCTTTGTTTTAATAAGAATTGTATGCCATTGTATTTGTTGACTTGCTGTAAGAGTTGTCAGCACTTGTTTGTTGCTTGTGTGTGAGGCAAGTATATCTCTGACCTGTTTGTTGCTTGTGTGTGAGGCAAGTATATCTCTGACCTGTTTGTTGCTTGTGTGTGAGGCAAGTATATCTCTGACCTGTTTGTTGCTTGTGTGTGAGGCAAGTATATCTCTGACCTGTTTGTTGCTTGTGTGTGAGGCAAGTATATCTCTGACCTGTTTGTTGCTTGTGTGTGAGGCAAGTATAACTCTGACCTGTTTGTTGCTTGTGTGTGAGGCAAGTATATCTCTGACCTGTTTGTTGCTTGTGTGTGAGGCAAGTTTATCTCTGACCTGTTTGTTGCTTGTGTGTGAGGCAAGTTTATCTCTGACCTGTTTGTTGCTTGTGTGGGAGGCAAGTTTATCTCTGACCTGTTTGTTGCTTGTGTGTGAGGCAAGTTTATCTCTGACCTGTTTGTTGCTTGTGTGTGAGGCAAGTGTATCACTGACCTGTTTGTATATACTGATTTTCTTTGACTTGAACAATAAACATTACTTGTCAACAACATTGTTTATGTTTTATATGCTAGTATTCATCCATCTCCTCTCCACGCAGGTTATGTGGCTCCTTGCAAAAAAAAAAGGGGGGGGGGGGGGGGGGGGGGGGGGGTGGGTTGGGGGGTAATAGAATCACTGCCTTCTCTTAACAATCATGTTATAGAAGACTGCTAATTAAGACTGAAATCGAACGTACATGTAGGCTCCCAGAACACAGATATCACAGCCAGCTGCAAATGCCAGCATAATAACATGCCCAACTGCTCATTCAAAGTGAACACAGAAGTATCCCTTTTTTTCTCTTCTTTCTCTCACTGTCCTGGTAGGCAGAATTGTACCCTAGCGCCTACACAGGAATCTGATTCAAGCTACAGGGGTTTAGATAGAGCTGGAAAGAGGGCATGATCAGCACAATAGGCATATTAGTAACCATCCATTTCTGCACACAAATACACGAAGCAGAGACAAACGGACAATATTGTTGTAGTGACGTAGTGGAAAATGAGTATTTGCGATGTGACCTCCGTTCTGCCTCACATTGTCGTGATGTTATGGCCCGTATGAAATGAAAACTAGTGAGTTTGGTGCCTTTATTACTTCTGTAAGTAATTCGATCTCCACATATAGAGGAGTTAAGATCAATCTCAACAAAGTAAACAAAACAAAGGCAGTAACATTAAGATCCAATATGTAGCAGTACCTCATATTGGGGAGTCAACATGGTGTAGCACCTAGACGCTTTCCTGTGGATTGGATTCACCGTGGTGTAGCACCTAGACGCTAACCTGCGGATCGGATTCACCGTGGTGTAGCACCTAGACGCTCGCCTGCGGATCGGATTCACCATGGTGTAGCACCTAGACGCTCGCCTGCGTGCTCGGATTCGGATTCATCACCGTGGTGTGTTTGCAAGCACAGACAACGCTCGCCTGCGGATCAGATTCCACCGTGGTGTAGCAGCTAGACGCTCGCGCCTGCGGATCGGATTTCACCGTGGTGTAGCAGCTAGACGCTCGCCTGCGGATCGGATTCACCGTGGTGTAGCACCTAGACGCTCGCCTGCGGATCGGATTCACCGTGGTGTAGCACCTAGATGCTAGCCTGCGGATCGGATTCACCGTGGTGTAGCACCTAGACGCTCGCCTGCGGATCGGATTCACTGTGGTGTAGCACCTAGACGCTCGCCTGCGGATCGGATTCACCGTGGTGTAGCAGCTAGACGCTCGCCTGCGGATCGGATTCACCGTGGTGTAGCAGCTAGACACTAGCCTGCGGATCGGATTCACCGTGGTGTAGCAGCTAGACGCTCGCCTGCGTATTGGAACATCGTGGTTCTGGTCCTGACGGAGCAGGACCTTTTTTTAATGGAAAAATGACCTTTGCTCCCAGGTCAACCCAGCCTTAAGTGGGTGCCAGGTGTAGTCCTGGGAAGTAAAACCGGCGT